GCGGACCGTGTCCCATTACAGTATTTACATACGCAAACTTTACATTTGAAAGCCATCTTTCTAAGTTAAGTACTTTCGTAAGGATCAAGTTTTAACTAATTTAAGTCCCACCAAAGTTATTTGCTTTAAAAAAAATCTCCAAATTTGTAGCGTCCTTCGAAACCTTCCTTTAAGAAATAACAAATGAATATCTTATTGAACGAAACAGTGTGTGTGCGTGTGTGTATGTGTGTGTGTGTGTGTGTAGATCTTCTAACCCCATTAATAACGAACTTTCCAACTTTCTCTGACCTGCAGTCGAGAGTGTTTTATATCAAATTTTAGTTCAATATGCCAATATTTGCAACCGGAATCCTGCGTAAAATTTTTGAATCTAATAGATGGGTATAATGCGTATCAAGAATATGTCGTAAAAAAACGGAAAAAATGAATTAGTAAAAACACACTTCTTTCGTTCATGGGTCCGCCAAGGGCTACGTCGGCGAAATTACTAATGACGCTGACTTATTAATTAATTCGTTGCTTATTTTTTTTTCCTAATATTTTCCATCGAATAAACATTGTCGTCTTGCGGCGAAAAGTAGCGCTCAATATTTAGTTTCAAACTACCCGGCAACAAGATGTTAAAAGGACAACAACAAAATCGTTGACGATAACGAAATTCGAGCAAACAGTTTGTTAACCAAAAATCAAACCAATCATAGAATACTTGATTATCAATGTAAATGTACACTGAGGACAAGCATATAGAACAAGAAAAATGGCGGAAACAAAAAAAATTTTACAAAACTCAAGAAATGTAAAAATTTCACTAATTTTTATATTTTTTGAATAAAAGTTTTAGTGGAAAATGGCAATTTATACGGAAAACAAGTGCGTCATGGTTCTTGTCGTGCGTAGACGTGTGTGTGCGTTGTATAGCTTGGGTCATTTTCAAATTCATTTGCAAATTTGTAGACGATATCTTAATTTTTTGCGAACGGAAGAATGCCTATCGCCGACGCACAGATGGACAGGCGAACAGAGGAAGATGCTTAGGCGCATTCCGCGTTTCAAACTGGCTAAGAATTCATGGGATTTTTGCAGCTTGTCGCTGCACATAATAAAGGTATTGGAAAAAAAATAAAAATTAATTAATACTTAATGCAGTATAATAATAGGTGGGTGTGGTCAATTTTTCCCATTCTCGCAAGTGTACCACAGCATTGCCCACACAATCTACGTTCAAATTTTTATAGATTTGTCTGGGGCACTTTATGAATACAGAGCAAAGAAACCAATTTTCTATGCCCTTTGAAAAACATAGGTCTTCTCAATTTGAGTAGTACTATAGGCGCGTACGTCGACCGATTGAACAATCATTTTCAAAATCAACGTGTGCGTGTAAGAACTTCCAATGTCTCTGCCAAATTTGAAGTCAATAATTTCATTCGGACATGCTTAAGCCGATTTAGAATTTAATGCTGATCAGGAATATATATACATTGTGGGATCTTTAATGCTTTCTTCTGGGCGTTGCAAACGTTTTAACAATATATGAATATAACCCTCATCCTTCCATGATGGATATAAAAATGTAATTGAACATATATTTGAAATTTGTTAATAAATATTTTGATTCGAATTTTGAGTAAGTTTCAGTATCTTAAAATATATATTATTATTATTGTAATTAGTTTAGCCAGAGAAATAGATTTGTAGAATAAAGTCTTCAAGCACTAGCTATAGCTAAGGTTATCGGCTTTATGGAAAACTTTACCGCACTTGAGATTTGAACCCACGTGCATTGAGCTGTTAGTCGAGATCCTTTGCCTGCTTTGTTTGCTCGGACCGATCCAGACCGATAACAAATATATAGACAATGCATATAGAATGTTCATGAATGAATAAATTCCCTATCGCACAAGTTCCATTTAAAATGGATAACGATTCATTGTGTAGAGTTGAAATAAAGTAAAAGATCTTCGTTCAATGGATTTCATAAAAAAAAGATTATTTATATGATATGTCGTCCATAGCAGATCCATTTACGACAACTCACGCACACTGAATATATTGATCGGAAGAACGCAAGTGAAGCTCAGAAGCAGTGGAAGCGTATTTTTTAATTCAATTTCTAAAATGAATTCAATAATTACTTACCGAAAATGATAATCAAGTCAATCATATAAAACATTTATATCAAATTAGCAAACACAGCTTAGTCGAATCGATTCAGAGGAAAAGAAGAAGAAATTATATAAAATATCTAAATTGAATTTGTGTTTTATGTGTATTTGTGTATGTGTGTGTGTGTGCGTGCGTGCGTGTGTGCGTGTGTGTGTGTGTGTGTGTGTGTGTGTGTGTGTGTGTGTGTGTGTGTG